TCGCCGAGATCCAGGCTCTTAAAAAAGCAGGTAAAAAACCGTTTTCCAGCTCATAACTTCTTCAGATTTGCATAATTCATGTTGCTACTTCATAGGTTGGATTCTCCTCTTCAAGAGCTTTTAAATGATATATAATATGTGGGGGATTCAATGTTTCTTGCGGCTCTAACTTGGGGTGGAGTACTTCTCTTCACTAATTCTCCACCCCGCCCATTTCAATGTATTGGCGGGAGGCCGCCAGTGGAGAATTAGTGAAGAGAGGCACTCCACCCCCGGGCATATGCCGTGGGAGGCGTGAATCCCCCCACATATTATATACCATTTGAAAGCTCTTGATGAGGAGAATCCAACCTATGAAGTCGCAACATGAATTATGCAATTCCGAAGAAGTTATAAGCTGAAAAACGGTTACCTGCTTTTTTAAAAGCCTGGATCTCGGCGATGTTTCAATGGATCGGTAAAGCTAAGACATATTCTGATAGGGCAAACCTTACCCTACAAATCTATGATGTCGCAACATTACACACCTTCAAAGTCTGGATTTATAAGAGTTTAAATGTTAGTTGTCATTAAGCAACCTAAAATTGAGAAGATTTTTAAGGTTTTTCAAAATTTTCGTTCTCGGCGGCCACTCCTCAAATCAAACTGATTCTTTCACTGTCTGGTAGAACACGCTTACCCTTTAAAACCTATGAAGTTGCAACTGCGGAGGTCTTCAGCCAGCAGGTTTGTAACAGTGGAATGATTTTTCACGATTCATTATTTTAGCATTCGTTCTGGTTCTCGGCGGTTATTGCCTGGATCGACCTACTACATAGATATATGCTCTTAATACTTTCTTTTACATTCCTTTTGCTTATTTTACTTCTTTTAAACTCAAGCAAAAAAATTTTCAAAACCAAAGGGAAGGTGGTCACCCTGTTCCAGCTCAAAAGTGAAGGTAGGCGGAGAATCGGCTCCGACTATCGCACCTCTGCTCTGGACAACAGTGAAAAGTCTTTGGAACAACTATTTCATAAATTTTGATTTTTTATCCAAATATGATTGAATGCGCAAGCTGCCTTATTCAGCTAAAGAGATAAAACACATTTTATTTTAATTGAAGGAAAAAGAAAGAGTTTGGTCTGCAGCAACTGCTCGTTTGCATTACATTTTCATGCTACTTTTTGTGATTATGAGGGAAGAAAGCACATTGTTATAGTTACGCAAAAAGAGACACCATGAACTATAGTCATTTGCCGAAATTTCTTGCCTCAGGCAAAGCTATAAATTCACTCGATGCAATCCTTACTTAAAAATCTGATGATTTTGACAGTAAAAACATTACGTTTGCTTCAACAAAATCGACCTAAAGCAAATTCCTTAAAGGCAGCGTCCCACCAGACAGGGGGTACCTGGCTCTGGTGGTAATGTAATAGCAGATTCCCTAACTGAGCGACTACAGAAGTTTGCAGCGCGAAAGAGGGTCTACGAAGTCTACAAGTCGTCCCTCAAGTGGCCCGAATCTTCGGGTAGGCTCGGGCGAGTGCGAGATGCATGCAAGGTAGAGACGCAGAGTCGTTGCGGCACCCTGCGCTCATGACTGTGTACGCTATACGCACTCTGGCCTTGCAAGTCGATATTGCTGTGTGGGCGGCGTCCGGGCCTACCGTAAGATTCGGGCCACTTTCGGAGCAAATTTCAGGCTTGGTAGACCCCCTCTTTCGCTCCGAACTTCAGTCATCGCTTAGGTAAGGGGTCTACTTAAACATCGCCACAACTCGGCAGTCATCTTTTTGTTGGGACGCTGTCTTTGAAGATGCGAATTTTCAAAAATGAAACAACAGAAGTTTTGGTACAGCCTAATACTTCATCTCGCTTATCAACATATGTGCATCTCATGTTTAAATGCCACCTTTTTAGCCTTTTTTAACAAAATATTTCCGGATCACGCGAATTTTTCGGAGTCCCGTGGTGTAAGGCGTAGTACTAATCTACTTGTGTGCTAAAATAGTCTCTAGTACTAGGTTGATACAAAAATAATGGCTGTTTTGCATAGCTTCTTGAAAAATTTTACATTTTCAAATGCGATCAAGATTTTCAGAAGCAGCAAACTTTTGCAACACGTGTGGTGTTGACATTACACATTTACACATTCATCTTATTCACATCACTAACGTAGAAACATATGAGTTAAGAAACAAAAAAATTTTTTTCTTAAACCTGGCTTTGGAATCATTACCCTCTCTAAAGTTTGTAAATACAGATGGTGAATAGCCTATGTTGTAGCTGCAAGCCAGTAGCGCAAATGAAGATGAAGAAAGCTTGGACAAAAATTCGGGAAAAGAAAAAACTCAGAATCAAAAATTGTCATAAATTCAACATTTTTTCAGTAAACCTCAAAGCTTCGAATCACAGAATTTTTTGGTTTTTAGCGTACTAAACAACTAAATGCTTTGCAAAGCTGTTAACAAGATGCCCTACCTTTACGAAGCCGAAATCTCAATTTAGAAACTCTCAAAAATTAAGTGCACGTAATGTAGAAAATTTTTTTACATGCAAAAGCTAAATTTTTGAGAAAGCATCGTTCATTTGTGCTTGAATTCTGGCCAGAAAAGTTGCAATGATACTGATTTTGGCTGCGGTTAGAAGTTCTAGAAGTTTCTGAAAAAGAAGAGTCTGCCGTATCAACAATCATTGATAGAGCATAAAAAGAGCTTCTTAGTGGTGGGCTACCGCCTCAAAGAATAAATTTGTTGGGAAAAGGTGTTATGCAAAAAGGCTTAAAAAGGGTCATTATTTTTGCAACATTTAATTCCTTCTCACTCAATATTTTCCTGCACACCATTTCGCATTTTTCACTCTCGTTCAGTGACCCTTACCACCCTTATCAAGTCATTTTCATGAAGATAACTATCGACATCGTATGATAAACTCTAATAGCTTCAAGATCAGAGCCCTGGCATGAAGCTTCGAAGAGTCATAATGTATATAATTTTGTATATAATGTAATACAATTTGTATGTATATAATTTGTCAAGCAGATTGTAGGGTTCTGTTACAGCAGACATGAAACATCTACGTAAAACTCGAAAACTGAAAGTCATGACTGCAATTATTTGGGGGATTTCGTGGATGCCGAAGGGCACAGCAATGCTTTTTGGGTCGTACTTTCCAGGATTTAGCTTCAGTGTTTTGACTGCTAAAATTTTTTCGTTGTGATCAAACTTCAAATTCACTTTCTTTTCGTTCCTATTCTTGGCAGAATGTAGCAATGCACTTTGCCTCCGAGCCTCCCAGTATAGAGAAGTGGCGATCGAATAAATCATAGTTGGGGTTAAATTCTGGGACACTTAAATGTAACACTGAGGCACCAAGCATAATTGGTAAAACATTGACTAATATATCAAATCCCCGGTGCGCCAAGTTTTAGCGAATTCTGAGGGTTTCCAATGTTGGATCACCCAAGTAACCAAGTAAATGATCATCTTCAAAAATGGTCAATTTTATTTCAAAAGTTAATTAGTCAACTCTTTTTGCTCCAATAGAGAGCAGTACTCTCTTTTTTTGCTCACAAAAGAGATCCCATTCCAAAAGAAACTTCCAAACTGTAGATTCAGGAGCCAGCCAAAATCTCGTTCAAAGGAAAGCTGTGACTACCACACCTTTTTGGGGGTTGTGCCACACCCCGTCATTACCTTCAAAGCACTCAAGCTCTGTACTTATATATCGGTCACTAATAAACCTTTTTCTCTACATAGCAGAAAATTCATACAAAACTGTTTCTCTTAGGAAAAGATATAGTCGTTTTTTGTTCGTTTTGCAAATACAACATGACGGGTTACGGTAGCGTTCTAGGTTTGCGCTACAGTGTGGATTTCGATGGAGAGCTGCAAGAACATGTGTATGTAATAATTTCATCATCATAATTTCTACCAAAGATTTGAGCCTTATTCTCTAGTCTGAGACATCGATAGCGAAAATGGGACAAACGAAGACTTTGTACTACTAAAAAGAACTTGCCACTTACTTTCAAACAAAGTCAGCATGTTCGAAAATGACAATTTCACTTGAGTGACCCAATATCTATAGGCCTCAGATTTCGCCAAACCATGGTCCACAAGGATTATCTGACGACTAATTATAAAATGATGCTTTTACGCTTTTAAGGCTTCTTTATTATGCCTACTGTTCACGATGGTAGGTCAATAACTTAGTGTGCTTTGTATTCTCCATAATGGATTTGTCTGGCATTTCTAAAGATGTTATCTTAACATCATTAGCATCTCGATAACGGCTCCCAACTCCTAGCTGGCCCTTCAGTATCATCTCCCAGGTGTGGCGGACTACACCCACTCTTTTGGTCATCAATCATCATGATCTTCCTATCTTCCTAGTTCCCTCTGATCTAAGAAGATTACAAGTAACTTTTCTTTTCTTCCACTAAAAGCAAAAAATAGGACACGAGGTTTTGGCTGGCTCCTAAATCTACAGTTTGGAACTTTCTTTCAAAATGGGATCTCTTTTGTGAGCAAAAAAAGAGAGTAGTGCAGTAGAAAAGGTGAACTATATACCTCTGATAGCATCAAAAGTGAAACGATAACTCCTTTGATTTCCACTAAATAAGCTTGAGCGCATAATTATGAGTTTCCATTCACATACAATTTTTCCCTTTCCTTTTGAGCTATTCATTTTGTTGAAAGAACAAGATTTTTTTGTGAGGTTCCATTTCTTCTCAAAAACAATGGACAACCTAAGGGCAAGTCAGTAATCATTTGTGGAAATGGCTGGGACCAAAGACCGCAGCATGATCAATCATGAGGCAGTGTAAATGTGCCAAGAATATTAGAAGTTATGATAGAACTTGAAGAATTTCGGGATGACTCGTTTTTTCCAAGTTGACAGACATAACATAGCTGTCATTTTTTACTACTAACTTAAAGTAAGTTAGTCGAACAGTTATTGGTAATGTTAAGTTGCTTCCCTGTTGATCGATTACTTCTTTGTACTATTTTTCTAAATTATAGCGACTGTCGTAACTGCACACAGGATCGCTGTATATGCAAAACATACACATTACTTGGTGTATGTCCCATTCTCTTAATGTAGGAATTGTCTGCAAAAATAATTTTTTGTAGTTAATTTTGTCAAATGTGAAAAGTTTACTGATGACCACGTCGGTTGAAATCAGTGTATTTTTTGTGTTAAGAGAAAGCAATAAAATATGCGAGTTCACTTGAAATTTGGATGTCAAATGGGTACTGGGTTTCCCGACTTTGGTCTGCTACTAGTTGAGGCGGAGGGCTGGGGGTATAAGCAGGTGGATTTGAAACATGGTTGGCATATGGGTACTGGGCTCTCCAATTTTGGTCTACCATTGGTTGATATACAGAGTAGGGGATATTGGTACGTGGATTTGAAACTTGATTGGCATATGGGTACTGGGCTCTCCAATTTTGTTGAGGCGGAGGGTTGGGGATATTAGTAAGCGGATTTGAAACTTGATTGGCATGTGGGTATAGAACTCTCCAATTTTGTTGAGGTGGAGGGTTGGGGATATTAGTAAGTGAATTTGAACCTTGGTTGGCATATGGGTACTGGGCTCTCCAATTTTGTTGAGGCGGAGGGTTGGGGATATTAGTAAGCGGATTTGAAACTTGATTGGCATGTGGGTATTGAACTCTCCAGTTTTGTTGAGGCGGAGGGTTGGGGATATTAGTAAGCGGATTTGAAACTTGATTGGCATGTGGGTATTGAACTCTCCAAGTTTGTTGAGGCGGAGGGTTGGGGATATTAGTAAGCGGATTTGAAACTTGATTGGCATGTGGGTATTGAACTCTCCAGTTTTGTTGAGGCGGAGGGTTGGGGATATTAGTAAGTGGATTTGAAACTTGGTTGGCATATGGATACTGGGCTCTCCAATTTTGTTGAGGCGGAGGGTTGGGGATAGCAGTAAGTGGATTTGAAACTTGGTTGGCATATGGGTACTGGACTCTCCAATTTTGTTGAGGCGGAGGGTTGGGGATACTAGTAAGCGGATTTGAAACTTGGTTGGCATATGGGTACTGGACTCTCCAATTTTGTTGAGGCGGAGGGTTGGGGATATTAGTAAGCGGATTTGAAACTTGGTTGGCATATGGGTATTGGGCTCTCCAATTTTGTTGAGGCTGTGGGTAGGGGATATTAGAAGGAGGATTTGAAACTTGGCTGCCATGTGGGTGCTGGGCTTTCCAATTTTGGTCTGTCAGTAATTGAGGCGGAGGGGTAATATTATGAGATGGATTTGAAGCTGGAGGCCGCCATATAGTCTTGTTTGTGGCAATCGATTGATTTTCATTTTTTGGTGTTTGAATCCAACTTTTGATAACTTCCTTGTAGTACATGATATCAGTGGAGACCTGAAAACAAGTGAGCTACAAATATTAGTGAAAACCTTCCAATTTTTCACAAAGTGGGTCCGACTGTAACCACAGCTCGATCACTTAACATGCCGGATTTTGGAGAAAAGAAAATTGATTGCCTGTGGATGTGAAATATTTTTTCCTTTAGCAACGCGAATACAGTTTGGTCCAAAAGAAATTATTCCAATCAAGTAAGTTCTTTTACGAATCGTTGCTGTCACGCCTCCGCCACTATCACCCTGAAATAAAAAACAAAAATTAAGATAAAGCTGCAAAAGTAAAAGCAACCAAATAGCAATAGTTTAGGGCCTTATTTACAGTTTAAAACATGATTATCTTTGTTTTTTCTTATCTAATTATTCTGATTTCAATGCGTAGACAAGCTCTGAATAAAAATAAGCTATGTTTCGATTTCAGCAGAGTCATACCATAAAATTCTGTCGTTGTTAAAGATCGTAATCAAAGTATTCAAAGCTTCCAAATCCCTCTGAGGAAGACGAAGGCGTCGAAACGTTGAGCCATGAGTTTGGAAATAAAGACCACTACCAAACCTTTATGGCACAGAAGTAATTTGAAGTGTTCAAAGTTAAAAAACCTTATCTAAAATTCGCCAACATCAAGTTAATATTCTTAGTAGCAGATAGCAGCTTATTTATTAGGGATAAATAATTTTGGTCGGTTTTGAGGCTCCTACAGATGCTGCTGACAATTTTTTGTCCAGTATTCGATACCGTTGGAAAGAGCACTTCAATGAGAATAGGGACATCATCTGTTCGATTCTATTTTGCTATAAAAGAAGTCGACAAAGAAGTGAGAAATTCCAGTTATCTCAAGCGCTAAGTTTTGAAAGTCGCTAATTAGGGAAAACTTGCTTGTATCCAAATACCAAGTTGCTGTTCTCTACATCCATTAAAGGGGATTAGTGGCGTAGTGGTTTGAGGCGTCGCTATGGCCAGATCGGACTCAAATTCGATCCCGCCCCTGGGCCAACCAACCCCTTTACCCTCCGGAGATGGTAAATTGGTACCAGAGTAATTCTGGGAGGGTAAAAGCACTGACTTGGTAACCGGCTGGCCCTCGCAAGGAAATGTAAGAGGCTCGTATGTATTCAATCGCCTCTTCGCATGAAGTAATGTGCGTTCGGCGCATGCTTCAGAGGGTATTGAAGACGCCGAATCCTTTATCATTTCTATACATCTATTGGAGCATGAAACCAAAGCTTCGAAAGTTATAGATTTGAGCTTTTGGAATTTTAGCCGTGTTGGGGCATAACTGCCCCTTACTGATAATTTGAGATTTTGAATAATTGATATGTGTTAGAAGAAGCTTTGAATTATTATCCACAACATATCATAAAAAAAGAACAAGTAGGAAACTTCTCATAAAGATTTTCATGCCAAAACAAGATTATTTTTTAGCCAACCTGGCAATATGACTTGAACATTGTCTCGTTTGTATTTATATAACAGGTTGAGTAGGTTAAAGAATTTCCCGACGCAATGACGTAACCTAGTTCTTCACAAATTTCATTAGGGGACTCCTTATCAAGGCAATGTTCAAATTTAATTTGATGCGCTCTCTCTTCATTGGCAAAACTGTTCCAAAAGTGGCTAAACCTACAGCCAACGGTAAGATAAAACGAAACAGCTGATCTAAGATTGGTATTAGAGCTTGTAATCAGTTTTTGGGGAACTTCCTGCAGTTTTAGATATTTAGAGGTTTTATTGTTGAGAAAGTTGTGATTTGCAAAAGTCTCAAGAAATCTAAGTTTTGTTGGGATGCTACCTCTATGAGAAATTCTATCCGGACAATGCTAACATATGTTAGAGATGACTCAGAACGGCGTACCAAATTCGAGGAGCTGGCATCTCTAAGTGCTCTTCATTAAAAAACCATTTGCTACTTTACACAAATCTTAATGTTGATGTACTTCTTCACTTTGATTTTTCTGCGGATTTGCTGTCGTTGTAAAAAAATAACACAACAGACGTCTTTAGAAAAACTTGTGGGCTCAAAATCGAATTTACGGAACCGACGACTTTCGGATAAATCTGAGAGTCGAATATTCTTTAGCCAAAAACTCGAATTCGATAATCTTAAGTTACCCTATTTTCAGGTGTATAAGCCGCGGGGTGGTCCTAGCTTACATCGACCAGTCCGAATACATCAAAGGACCTCGCAACCAAAGAGCCCTACACTATGCTGCGTATTGCCTGAATAAAACGTGCGGTATAAGAATCGCTTCTCGAAACACAATGAAGCGGCTGAGCAGCTCGTGGGAAAATTTGGTAAAGTGCGGCTTATACACCTGAAAATAGGGTAATCAAATCGTCTGGTAGTTTCGCTAGCAACCTAGGAGATTCAAGAATCTCATGCGCAGTTGAATAATTTTCGATATTCAAATGAGCCTTTAAATTTCCATAAGATCCAGAATCAAATATCCCATTTCAAGTGTATAAACCGCGAGGATTTTTCTTCAAAATCAACAATCCAAACACGTCAAAAAACCTTCGCAAGCAAAAGGACCATATATCGTGTTGCGTATCGCCTAAGACAAACGTGAGGCATTAAGATCGCTTTTCGGAAAACACTGAAGCGGCTGAGCAGGTTGTTTGGAAACTCGAAAAAGTGCGGCTTACACCAGGTAATCGATTTTAAAGCTACGGCCGAAATTTGAAGGTTATTGAAAAAGATTTTTTTTAAATACTTGACAGTAGAACTCTCGATATTTATGTCAAAACTCTGAGGGTTGTAAGTATATTGTTAAAATTGATACAAATCAGTTGTTGTACTTCCAACATCTCTAAACCACTCACGAAAATTTTTACGGTTATCAAAGTACACTTCACGCCCGCAAAGTAAGTGAGCTCAATGCGAGGGTAACAAACATATTTTGTCGTTTGCTCCTAGTGAGCAAAGTGAAAGAACATAAGCTGCTTACATACTTGCTCAATCGAGCTTGAAATTTCGACTATATGTATAAGGCTTAAAGACTATTTTGAAATAGCTGCAGTTAGATCCGTGAGCGTTCCGTTCAAACGTATCACCAGTTTCCGTCATATCAAAGTGGCCCATAACTTCCTACCGTTTCCTTGACATTTGCCCAAACTAGTTCCAAAAAAAGTTCAAGGCCGAAATCTAAAAGATCAAAGTCCTTGGAAAGTCAGAAAAGGATAATCGTAAAATCATACCTATGTATGCTAACTAAGAAATACCGAATTCAACATTTAGAGAACCAAGTAGAGCCACAATTTTGAATTTTTGGGCTATTATCATTTCTTACTTTCGAGACCCGAAAAAATATATCAACTGCGTTCTTGGGTAATACTATGTTCGCTGTATAATAAGCAAGTTGGAGGTCTGTAAGAGTTCCGCGAAAAGAGAACCGGTTTCTGGGGTAGTTGAAAATTTTGATTTTTGGCTTTAAATTACCCGAATCAAGAAGGTGGATAAGTGGTAGTCATTTCGTAGGGCTTGCTTCGCTTTATCGAATGGTTCGCTGTTGCCAAAAAACAAAAACAGCTTGATTTATTTAGAAAAGGTATTTACTTTTGAGGCGTACAGTCTAAGCAAGTAAGAAGTCTATAGGAATTTTTTGAATGAGAAAACGATTTTCTCTCAGTTTTTTGATCATTCAGATCTTCTTAGGGATTGGCTTCGAACTCCAAGCAAAATAAACTTTAAGTAAATGTTCGGTTGCTATCTTGTAGAACTTGCCTAGCTTTGTCAAATTGTACCGCAAAGCTCCGAGAAACGAGGAGAATATGTTTTACTGCGGTAGAAAACAGAAACGGTAAAAGTAATGGAGGCTATTACAATTTCATGCCAAATTCAGTTTTGAAACTTGTACCCACATGTCGCGATCACAAAAACCAAATTAGAGATCTGCGAAGATACTTCTGCTATTGTTCACTTAATTATTTTCTAAATGATGCATCCTCAGTCTAGTGCTGGGCTGGACATATACAGCTTAGACAGAGAGGTTCCAAGAATGCGAGATAGATTATGAGAAGCAATTGTTTGTACGAGGGGAGGGGAGGCTTGTAGAAAGTGTCCCGGCAAATTTTCGGCTCCCAGTTCTTCACCGTTTCGGGAGCCTCGTCACATTTCCCAAGCGGGTTTTGCAAAGCATGAAAATGTCGATAAATTTTTAAAGTCTTTCTTGAATTTTTAAAGCCTTTCAGGTCAGCGTTTGGTGAGCACATGTAAGTGGGAGGGGTCCAGAGGGGCGGAGTGGCCAGGAAGACTTCCGGAGTGGATTTAAGGAGCTCCAAGCCCGCTTTTTTCTCCATACTTCGCTAATAGACTAGCCGGTTGAGTAGTGGCTATTGCAATACTGTAGATACCAACAACTTTGCATGAATGCTGATTTCAGGCCAACTTTATCAATAAGATGTTTGCAGTCGTTCACTTTCACAGCGTTTAGAAGTCAATGACAGTGAGCTTCATATCTCAAGGTCAAACTTCGTGGACTAATTAATTAGGCTGGTGCAAAACTGACACATGCTTTTCATGCTGCTGCGCTAAATAGAAAAGGGTAGGAAGCATACTATTGACAAAACACAACAAACTCTACAAGGTGGCATTGAATCGTTTGCAAACCTGTAGTCCAAAGTATGAAGCGAAAATTTGTCAATCAAATACCTAACGGTGTCTTCATCCAAAAAATCCTATAGATTCCAGATTTGTTCAAGCATATTTTAAATACACGTACATTTGCTGAGATTTTGTGGCCAGACGAGACGAAATTTTGACTAAGATAAGGAAAGTATGGCTTTTTTCAATTTTTTACACTAACTTGTACATTTGGAAGTTAGCGCTTGTAGAACACTGAATATTTATGGTTTTACTTGTTTAATTGTAGTATAGCTATATATAAACGGAAACAAGACGCGCTGTATTGCTCTGACAATGTGCCACTTTTCAGTTTTTTATTTTTTTTGCTGAAAGATTGCAAAATGCTACATATGGTCTATGTCTGATGTGAAGAGCATATTACTTGACTAAGTTGAAAGTTTCTAGACATTCCTGAAAACCATATTTTTCTAATAAGTAGGTTTCGTAATGCAAAGATGACTGGCAAGCTCAGGCAGCTGCCTTTCGTGGAGCGCTTCAGTCGTCTTCAACTACTGTCACTTTGGTGCATGTTATTTATCGTCGCGCTTTCTCAGCCAAAAAAAATTTTGTACAAAGCTAACAGAGATTCAAATTTCTACTGCATGTCTTCAAAAATCAGCTTCTTCAGCAAACTTTCCTCTAAAGTCAAGGAAGGGGAAAGGTCGCGAAGTCACAAAGATCATTGAACCTGTAAATGGCAGAAAGTATGAGCAGCTATCATTACGACAGAAGGAATAAAGCTAAGCACTTCTCACTTCTTGCTGCAGAAATAACAAGTACGCAAAAGTTCAACTTAACTGTTCAATTAAGGAAAAGGCAAAAATTTCAGACATAATTTTTATTATAAAGCAAAAAAACTTACTCGACAAATATACTGTGGACCAGATTTAGTGCAAAAGGTATCGTTTGATTTCCAATTCTTCATTCTGTTGCATTCTTCTTTCGACGATTTCACGCCTGTAGTTGTTATGTTAACCAATATGCTGGATGAGACAAACATTTTCACCTAATTCCGCTATTTGCAAGTAAGGCGAAGGTATATTGGTATATTTCAAAGCTGCAATAAATGTTGATAATTCATTCATTTGACAGAAAGAAGCTTACGGTCTAATCCCCATCCAAATGATCTTAGCTTTAGGTAGGGATCTTCGATTTCTTCCAACTGATGCAGGAAAGGAAGGCAAACATGATTTATTGTCTTCGGCACGTCCTCAGTCAACTCAAGCAAGGCTATGTCATGAGTGCCTTTGCAGTTAAACGCGAAATACTGCTCGTAGGATGCGCTTAATAGGTTTATAAGAAATTTGTTCGGAAATCATTGTAGAAAAATATAGGGAGACACTTAGTCTGCGCGACTTTAATAGAACATACCGCGCAACTTTGTACATTTTGCCAATATCCGACGTATTGCAACCAGCTATGTTTGGGAATAAGCAACTTCCACCAACAAAAACTTTGGTAGAGTTTATTACAGCTTCCATAGGGTACATGTCTGAGGTGCTAAATAAAAAACTTGTGGGAAATAGCTAAATTGTCTATTTTTATTCACTTGCATCGACCCATTTTCCACTTCGATGCCGAAAAACAATGAGCTGCAGTAACGACATGCCGTCTTGAGATAAGCGTTCCACCACATAACTCTGAAAGCGAGCGCAATATTACGCACATTTTGTTTTTGTTTGACTTAAGTAGAAATCGATATGCCAAAGTTTGCTCAATTTAAATAGCTTTCTCTCCATCTAATTAGCCTTTTTGCAAAAGGATTTTCGTGCGTTTTGAAGAGTGGCGGCGGTGGTGGAGCGGCGGGGAAGTAAAGAGAGGATTTTGGAAAGTTACCCGCATGAGTTGCAAATTTGCGCAAGTAAAATGTTTCCACTTGTGGAAAATTGAGATGATTCTAGAAAATTTTCAAAGTACATTAGCCTTGCAAATGAGTTTTAAGGAAGCGCTACCTTCCAGCCTTGCGAAGCCTTACCTCCGTCTTCGAAAATTTTGATGTCTCAAGCCATTTGAAGGTTTAGATTTTCCCCCAAAAATTTTTCCGGAGAAAGTGATTGATACCAATCTCGTTATGTTCCTGGCGCATATAATTTTACTTCTATTAAAATTGTGATCGCTGATTTGCTATTTCTTTCTATTGCTATTCGTGTAGCTATCAGGCTGTAATCCTCAATCTTTTCGTTCAATTTTTGTTAAAGCTGAGCTTGCAATCTCAACATAATAAGCGAGCCAAACGAGTTGACTATTAAAAAACCATGACGGACATTTCCATTCTTTTTTCAATACGAAAGTAAACTTACCTTCTGAGGTAAGAATGTATACTGCCCATGGAAGTTCACCCCTCGCTGCTCGCTTTCCTCCCATCACCTGAGATGGGTTTTTTGAGAACCTGATTTATCGTCATATCAAATCATGCAAATGAATGAAGAGGAAAGCAAGGGAGACGAAGGAAATAAAGCCAAGATTGGCATGAAGTACAATTCAAATGGTTAAGGAGGAGGAGAACAACACTGCCGACTAATACGCCCTGGTCTCGTGCTAAGCTCTCCGAAAATTTTGTTTTGTTTTTGAATCAAAGTGACTTTTCATCCTATGCTTATAAGTGAGTGTAAATCAAAAAGTGCATAAGGGCAATAGCAATACTCAGTTGAACAAAGAAAGCTCTACAAGATAATCAATTGCATCTACATGATGACCGGCTAGTCTGCGAACTGTATTGAAGATGCGTGCTTGACATTAAGGGACGCATTTGTCGCGCGCAATGTAAGCCACTACTGAATAGGAGGCCGGGAGCGCTGCTTAACGCTTTACCAAGCGCGATATCGCATTCGCGCTGGGCACCTCTCCTGCTACGCGCGCTGCCAAGTCGCAGGCTGTATAAGGGCGCGCAAGCCGCGTTCGGCGCCTCTTCGAGTCCTTGTGTCATCGATTTGTTCTGAATATGATTCGTGCTAGCAGCGCCTCCAGAAGCTCCCGCAGATGATCATCGGTTTCGAGCGGCTGAGCCTTTGCTGTCCTCTTGGTTTTGGAGACGCGCAGCAAAACATCATAGTTCGTCTTGCGTATGAAGGATATTGGCGGGAGTGGAGAGGGGTCGCGCCGTCCCGTAAGGGCTTGGGACTTGCGGGCGCCCGGTGGAAAACCCGGAACTACGTGTTGAAGACGATCATCTTAGGGCATCGGCAGCACGGGACGAGGCCGCTCGTCCCGTGCTTTCCTTTCTTTTTCTAGTGTTAGTACTAAGTAGTTTTAGGCGTTGTTTTCTGTTTATGTTTGGTAAATGTGATCTAATCTAGTCGTGTGTTGTGATTGCCGTTCTATCGTGCGAGAATCAGGATGAAGGCGTCGAGCGAACGCGTCAAGAGTGCGCACACTAGCGCGGACGCGCAAGATCCTGGAGTTAGGGTTATCGTGTTAGGAGGACGAGCACTAGAGCGAGGGGTGCTGATTGTGAGCACACCGAGCCGCTACAGCATGCAATATCCCAACGAGGAGGTATCGCAACTTAAAAGAAAGCTTCATATTTTGGAGCTCCAGATATCTGGAATTCACGCAGTCTACCGTTCCGCAAGTATTCCTACTATCCTTCACTTTGAACACATTGAACAGCAGTAGAAGCTGTACAAGCCGCATTTTCCAGCTGTATGATTTCTAATGATCCCCCGCGCTCTACTTCAAAGTCATTTATCTCTCTTCCAAGTTAGCGAAAACATTCCAAAGTTGTACCTTTCATCTAGTCCAACAGTGCTAAGTATGTTGCTGATAAAAACAGGTAATGTATCGGAATCATGAAATTTGCGATGAACCAAAAGTCGAAAATTGAGGTTTATCGAAAAATTAAATTTTTCAAAAACTTATTTATTCTCATCAGCAACATGCTTAGCACTGTTGTGTAAGATAATCATAAACTCTAGAAGGTTTTCGTTAACTTTGAAGAAAAGTGAATGTGGAGAAGCGGGATCACTAGAGATCATCCAAAAGTTGGAAAATGCGGCTTGTACAGCTTCTCGCTGCTGTGCAATGTGTTCAAGGTGAAGGATAGTAAGAATGATTGCGGACAGGAGACAGCCTAAAATTCAGATATTTGGAGCTTCAGAATATGAAGCTTTCTTTATGCATGCGGCCCTAAGATTACGAAAACTAGATCACTGCAAAGTGAGCATAGCATTAATTGTTTCCAAACTTGCTGGGTTTTTTTGAGTTTATAGAACAAAATATGTTGAAATTCAAAACCATTGCGTTTTTCGACTTCTCTGAAACAGATCAACGAATGTCGTTCAAAGTAGCTGCGCGTGTATTAACTGTTGCACTCCCAAGGATCCTGGACATCGACTAATATATCTACATTAAGTGTTTCCACACTCTGCTTAACTTGAAAATGACTACACTACCTTTTCAGGAAAGCTGCTTGTATCTACAAAAAAGGTGGGCGCAGCATTATACATTTCAATAAGACTAACATAAGCCAAGATTTATCTGCAAGCTTGCTGCAAGCGAATAACTTATCGAAAACATTGGCATTTTCAACTATCTTGTTCCTACCTTCTCTTGCATAAAATCGTTGTCATCCTGATCCGAAATGGCGTTCTCATCCAAATCTTTATTTGATGCGTCACCATTGATGGGTTGATTGTTTGATTGAGCATCAGCTGAGGAGCGCCTGCAAACTCATTTGCAGAAACAACGTAATTTTTTGCGCATTCTGGAGACACATGGATGAGCGTTGTCACCGTTTTTTGCAAACAAGGCAAACTTTCATTTAGAAGTACCCAGACAAAAACCGTCATTTTCGCTCTTATTTTCTTCAAACTTGATGATTTTCGGCAAGAAAACATCTAAATTTTTGGCAAGTTTTCCGGATTGAATCATTGATGTTGCTGTTGAGTTTGTAAGCGCGAACTTACTCAAACTATGGAAAAATTTTGCTCAAGAGAGCAATTTAATTGTATTTTTCGTAAGAATACATGGAACTAATTCTTCGAAACTCAAAGGATTTCGGAAGTTTCCGTAGCCTTTGAGATTGATTGTTGATGAGCTGCAGTATCAACATCTGGGATACAATAGACACTTACTAATGTCTTTTTTGTGGAAAAGTCAGTTTTCTAACGCTTTGGGTCAAAGGCGTTAAGAGAAGGAGTTGGTGCAGAATCAAAGAATTATGATGTGTCCCTTATTTTTTTCAAATACACGTCTTCGGACCCTTCGTCCTTGCAGGCACACACGAGAGAGAAGTTCTAGAAGAGAATAAAAGTAATAACGAAGGTTGATTGGAGGCAGTGGCGTACCGAGGAGGGGGGCGGGGGGGGAGGGCGCCCCCCCCCCCCGAGAATGGGTCGCGAAATTTTTGAAAGTTACTTACATGAGTTATAAAAATGTGCAAAAGACTTGTTTATACTTGTAAGTAATTAAAATAACTTTTAAAAATTTTTAAAAATTCAATTTAGCCTTATAAAAAAATTTTTTTCGGGGGCGTGGCTGACGCCACGCCCCCTTTTTCTGAAATTTCGGGGTCCTGAGCCCCCGAAAATTTCAGGAAGCATATAAAAAAATTTTTCGGAGTGCGTGACTGACGCCACGCATCTTCATCGAAAATTTTTTTTTGTCGCGCCTCCCCCCCCCCCCCGAGCAGAAATCCTGGGTACGCCACTGATTGGAGGCAAATTGTTGAACCAACTTTGGCTAAGGGGCGCTTTTTATAGCGCTCATTTCTCGCGCACACGGTTGTATTATCCAAGAGATTGCAGATCATATGAGGAACGATTGATTATCCTTAATCACAACAGATGTTACTCGCTTATTTCGCACATACTGCGAGTGAGTTCAATTAAAGGCAGCGTCCAGGCAAGATCTACCCACCCAGATTAGCACATAGTTGTAAAGAGGGGCCTATGAGTATCCGATTTGCGTTGGTCCAATCCTTTGACGTGCTCTCTAAAAGGAGATACGCGCCTGTGATACGTCCGAAGCCGCCCCTTCGTATCACAAACAACCCATGAGGACGAGTGCTCACGCAGGTGTGCGCTTGCATTGCAGTTGCATTGCAGTTGCACTGCACAGTGCAATGCAACTGCATCCGTGCAGTCGCAGCTCCTCCCGCTGGCATGATGATGGGGACGAGCAATTCGAAACTCGTCCACTTTTTGAAGAGAGTGTCTCCAAGAACCGGGTTTTTTGGGAGTTTTGAGCATTTTGGATTTTACAACTGTAATCAGGGCCACGGAAAGGCCCAGAATGAGAGAAACATGAGAGGCGAAATTTTGCCCGGACGCTGCCTTTAACCCCTTTTCGGCTTTGCTTCGTTTTTTTGATTTTATGAGTACATAAAAATTACGCAACTTTTTATTTATGAACATTGGAGAATCTTTACTGCAGCAAAGATAAATTAATAGAGGTCGCGTTAAGATGATTAATGCAATCATGAAAAGATCGCGTATCATGTCATAACTTAGAAAAAATCAAGCAGAGCCGGAAAGAGCTTTGTTTTTACGCTTGCGGCATTGTGCAATAAAATGGTTCAACGAAGAGTTGAAAATAATGAAAGTAGACAATAAACAAGGCACTTGCTCTTTCTTTTCTGCACAAAATCTCATTCCGTAGACACGATTTTTCTAATAAAGGTGCTATATTAGGTTGCCGCGTCAGATCCGCGTCCCACAAAACACGCACTTTATCGGAGGATGTACGTTTTCTGGGCATTTAGCGGGCTGGCATCGTTCCAGGTGATCGGGAATAGACCGGGCGTTGTGGTATTCGGACAGGTTCGAGGTGGTCCATAGTTTCTAGCGAATGTAGGGGGATGGCACAAATACGTCTGCACACGATCACATAAGCTACTTGTTCCGTGTCCATGTCCGTGCTCATTTGCATTTCAATACAAAGAAGAATTTTTGAAAAGTTACAAAAAGTATTTCCAGTTTCTCCGTAACAAATCCTATACGGTGCACACAAAAAGAGAATTTTTCGACGAATTTTTGATTTTTTGATCTGTTTTTCACCCTTTTTTTATCGTGCTAGCGTCACCAAAGTGCTGCCATAAAATAGACGATGCGAAAATGTTTTTACTAAATTGACAAGAAAATAAGGTGGTTTTTTATTTGCTTGCTTTAACGAAGCAACCAGACTCAACCCAACAAAGGATAGGGGATACTGTTCGATAGTGCAAGGCAAGCTTTACAAGATGGCGTTTATAATTTTGCGCCAAGCTCGATTCACGAGAAGACTGAACTCAAAATCAAAGATTTTCAAATGCCCAAAAAATCGAAAAAAAATCAGATCTTCGTCCAAATAATTCATACGGATTCCCACTCACACCTTCAATCCTTTCGATGACACCCATATGTGCAGTTGCTGTGTTTCCCCCTTGGCTAAAAACGTAGAAAACGAAAATTTTCATGATCTTCCCAAAGCAACGCTGAGCCCTTCTCGCTTATGTAGTTCTATACTACAAGCCTAGATGAGTATAACTGTAGATTTTCAGCCCATTCCGAGCGGTAGTTCTCGAGAAATATTGAATTGGCTTTCTTCTTTTCAATTTCAGTGCTGAAATCCATATTTTTCGAAAAATACCGCTCGCTGAAAATCTACAATTACGCTTAACTAGGTTTGTAGTATAGAATTACAAGAAACGCATATGCAAGAACTGCTCAGCACTGCTTTGAGAGTATCATGAAAACCTTCATTTTCTCAGTTTTTAGTCAAGGAAAAAATACAACAACTGCACATTTGGGTGTCTGATATTGAAAGTATTGAAGTATGTGAGTGGCAGGTCCCTATAAATTATTTGGACGAAGATCTGATTTTTTTTCGTTCCTTTGGGCATTTGGAAATCTTTAGATTTTGGGTTTAATCTTCTCGTGGATCGAGCTTGGCGCAAAATTATAAACGCCATCTTGTAGAGCTTGCTTTGCTCTATCAAACAATATCCCTTATCCTTTGTTGAGTTGAGTCTTCGCTAATACATTGACGACAATACGACCCACGGTGGGTCGTAAGTTTTCGAGAGCTCTAACTTTGCCAACATGCGATGGAATTTTACGGTATTCTGGCACATGATTGGGGACACATTGGCGAAGCTCTAGCCGGAGTGGTCCGGGTCCGGGATACTGTAATGTAATGTTACGGTAGGTATACCGTAGATAGAGGTAAGGCACAGATTTTACTCGAATTTCTCGCAGAGTGGTGCTGTTTTTGACAATTCAAGTTTACATGCACAAGAAATACAGTAAGAGCATGAGAATGATGTCAGCCCATCAAAAATTATCGACTTTATTGATTTTTCGCATTGTTCATCCCAGGAAGCTCAAACCTTGCATATATAGGTTTTTTAGCATGCTGATTAAAATGATAGTCTCAAGTTCTAATACCGCCTTCTTACATCAGTTTCTTGATTCTTATAAAAATTCTACCGTACTGCTACCGTAGTCCCACTGTGGGGAAGTAGTGAACAAAATGGACACTATAATGGTGATCAGCATGTGAAATAACCCCAAAATATAATTTTTCACGAAAATCCGTTATGTTGGATTCGTACAGAGTGACTATCGTAATCTTACCGTATACTGCTAAAAACCGAAACAAATCATATTTTGATAATCAGCGCCTTCGATAACCCTTGTTGAGATGTTCTCAAAGATATGTTTTGAATTTCTTACAAAAAGACTAATTTCGAACAATACGACCCACGGGTGGGTCGTAAGTGGCAGAGCAAAAAAGGCTCCTGTCCGAAATGGCAGTAATCGAAAAATCGGCCTTGTCGTCAATGTGTTAAAGCAAGCAAATAAAAAACGACATTATTTTCTTGACAACCTAATAGAAAAATTATGAGAGAGAAAAAACGCAATTAAACGCAAAAAAATCAAAGAGAAAATGACAATTTTGTGTGTGTTTATAACGTTGTCGTAGAATTGCTAGCTATTTTTGCATTGACGGCATCTATGATAATGTTGTGTACGCCTTTGGTCTACATATGAAGCAACTTTGAAGCAACTTCAGAAAACTTCTGGAATTTTTCCAAAATTCCACAAAAAATGTGAAACAGAAATTATGCCAACCTAATACAGAATTACTCCACTTCCATTGTTTGTGCCCTCATGTTTTGAGTGAATCATGTGGATTGTTACATGTTTACCAACCAATGTGTCAAAGGTAGTGTCTCATTAAAAATTGGCTGTCGAAAATTTTGCTAACGGGCTTTCTCCGATCTGTCACCCACTGTGGTTTCAAAATTGGATAAGTCCCCGAAAACACCGTCTTCGGAACTCTGCGGGAACAACGCGGACGAGTTGTGCACAGTGGCAGTAACGTCATAGAGGTGGTGTGAGCTGGAAAGACGTGTTGAAACGTGTAGGAATCAGAGCGTTGTCCAGAGCGGGCCAAATCGAGATTCTATGAACGACTTTCTCGGCGTAGAGGAACCAGAATTGAACTGGGCTATGCGCAGTGGCTATACAAAGAGCCCTCTAACAAATTATTTGGTGATCCGATACACATTACCCCAAATCTGATGAGTGCCTTTTAGCTAAAGTCTTACAGTCGAAAAGTTGTTTGCAATGTTCTAACTCACGACTACTATGCATAAGCCTCTTAAGCGGCAGTATGGTAAAATTCCTGTCTATTGCTTACTTTGTGAGACAACAAGGATTCTTGAGCAGATTTGAAAATCTGCGACATTCTTTCCACTTCTTGAGAAAAGAAAGTCGTTAGTAAAAACGAAAACGATTTAGATTAGAGCTCGCTGTTTATCCAAGAAGTACGATAAGGTGGCGTATGGGCATTAAAATGAGTTGCTTTGGCTAGTTTCCACTTTATTTTGTTCCGAGACTAGCTAGCTCCTGGAAGGCTTGATGAGCCCAAGCAAGTCGAGAGTAATAGAATTTATAATACATTTTATTTCAAGTAATACCCGTTTTCTAGTGTAGGATTTCTACGAAAAGGGCACTCACCACTTTTGGAACCCAAAAAGCAGGAATTATTATCTAATAATGAACTTAGCGTATTTCTGAACTACGTCGTCATCGGATAGCAATAATTGTTGTATGAGCTCTTTGAATGATGAAAAAACTTGTGAAGTGTCGTAGATTACTAATCTCGTACCGACCGATGCAGGTGCAAAAGTAAATGTTCGAAATATCGTTTCACAGGACTTTATGAATTTTATTTGCGACTCGGAAAATATTAGGTCGTTCCGAAAGTAATGTCGCTTTTTTCAATTGAACGCTACATTTCGTGGAAGCAACGCTTCTAGGAGATCTTGGTAGCATTCGATGCAGCATTTCATCCTCTTTCCAATGGCTATAATTTCACTGCAGAATACTCGATGAGCTTTTGAAAAATTACTAAAATCTCCAACCCATGCTTTTTGGGAAGGTCAAGTTTCACAATTTTTCTAATTTTTTTGTAATAATTCCCGGAAGGAGTCCAAGTAGTGGATGGATAGAGCAAACCCTATAGGAAACGGTGCTATTTATTTCTGCTCTCCGTATCTCGTCATAATTTTTGTAGAGATTTTTCAATGAAGTCACCAAATTTTTGCAGGCTTGTCTCAAACACATATGCATCAAACACCAATAAACTTTCGGATTCTGAAACCTACAAAGGTGGATTATGGTTTAACACTAATTTTACAAAGCATGTGAGCATTTACCGCTTCAGATTAGCAACTTTCGAAAATTCCGGGTACAACCTGGGGCGCCCTGTAAAACCTGAATTATGATGATTTTGTCCCGGAAAACTCAATGAATCAGAAATAAAAAAACTGGTGGAAAGAGGAGAAAAAGCTGCATCGAATGACACCCGAGTCGCTTGCCGGTTGTTGTTCTGTGAGGTCTGAGTTGACCAAATATGGGATTTGATAGCACTGAAAAATTGGTTCTACAAGCTCCAAGACGCAAGCTAAGGAAAAGAAAAAAATTGTTTTGTATCCTATAGGGTTTGCTCTATTTATCTGCTACTTGTACATCTTCGGGGAATCAGTACAAAAATTAAGAAAAACAGCCGAACTTGACCATGACAAAAAGCATAAGTCGCAGGTTTTAGTAATTTTTTGAGAGCTCATTGAATATTATGCAATGAGATTACAACCTTTAGAAAGAGGATGAAATTCTGCATCGACTGATTCCAAGAGCTCTTGAAAATCTTAGTTCCACGAAATGTGGCGTTCATTTGAAAAAAGCGACATTACTTTCGGAACGACCTAATATATGGATCATAGTACACTTACAGCTATGTGACATGATAAGTTCTCCCATCAAATAAAGCAACATCTTGTTTTCAAACAGAAGCGATGCTGAGCGTCTCAGCAATCGTTAACAGAAAAATTTTATTACCTGACTCTTTTTCCCAAGGAGTTTTGTGCAGCGTCATTTATTTGTGATATACCGCAGCGCTGCATGTCTAAATAATTGCATAAACATATGTTGCTACTCTCCAATGTTGTACACTGCAAAACTTACCGTATACATTTTGAATTTGTCCCATCGTGATTTGAAGGACCAATAAAAAGCAAACAAACCTTCTCATGGCGTTCGTGAGATATAAATTTAATGGTTTATTATTTGGTCCTAAATTGTGTGGCATTGAAAGTGTGCGCGGACCTTCGCTTTGAAGCTATTGACTAGACATGTTTGCTACACCATTAAGAAAGCAGTTATTTGAGTTGGTAACGGATAGTTTGGTACACTTTTTGTAGACAACTCTTCAGCTTCTACATACTTCATTATTATCACTTTTTGCAAAAGAATTTTATCTTTATCTCTGCAAATGGGATTATGCATACAGCGTCACCTAATATAGACAAGTTTGGTTTTCTGTCTACCGTAAGCGAAATGATGGAGAGGGGAGTAATCTGGTTTAGGACGTAAATTTGTAAGTTTCTAACTTCTCATTTGTCCTAAAAAACTCTTAGACAAGTGAAAAACGGTCATTTATTCCTCTTTCACTTATTATTTCCTTTTTATTTTGCAAACAGTAAGTTTTTTCGAAATGAGGATTCTATACAAAAACTACTATAAGGTTTAAATGCAAGAGCAATGCTAGATAAGTTTGCTTGTCTCTAGTGACAGTCCAGCAATCCAGTAAAGCAACAGACAAGCATAATACAGCATATATGCTAAAACCTGATAATACTTATGAGGTGATGCTGACATGCTCAGAAGCTTTCAGCAGAACAGTCTCTCCTAAAAGTGCTTATGTTATAGCAGCTCATCACTTTAAGTTAGTTGATATAGCTACTACGACGGTTATAATGTCTTTCCTTGCCAACAAAATTTGCAAATAAACAAAGGCTTTGCGAATATGACTATAATTCAGGCACAAGTTGTATTTTAGAGTAAAATAGGGCATGCCAGCCAAAAAAAAGGGTGCCACCCACATTTTTTTGGGAAGTTGCGCCACACCCAATGCACTTCAGAACAATAAGACTCTCTGAAGTCCAGGGCCCGGCATGATTCCGTATTTTTTAAAACAAAGTCTCCTTTTGTCTTTCGCCAAAATTTACGAGTCCTTCTTTGACCCCAATCCATATATGTAAAAGTCCTTGGAAAACGAAACTTCGACTAAAAAAACGCAATTTTTTTGCATCTTTTTGGCCACAAAAACATCCCCTTTGCTTTTTCCACCAAAAACGAAGTCAGCTCGTCATACGATCTGTGGCAAACTCTTAAGGGATTATTATGAAGGTAATTCAATAGCCCACGCAGTTTTCATATAAACGATTTAGCTTAATTTGTCTTAAACTAAATAATAGTTGCTAAAAACACAACCATCGAAAGAGGAAATGGTTCAAATATCTTTTTTAGCTGGCTCCTAATTTCAATTTCTTTGAATCAATCAATCCAAGTTTTTTTTGAATTAGGATCTTCAAACGGGCAAAGTGGAAGTAGCCTTCAAACTGAGTGAAAAAAGCTAGCTAAATCTACTCCAATATAAAATCATTGGCGGTTGAAAGTGTCCGTTTCATTTAAGCCAGTATATAGACTTTCAGAATCTGCTTAAACTTGAATCAAAAATCTTATTTGACATGTTATTTACGAACATGTTACCCGTTGTGGGCATGGCATTAGTATCTATCGTGATTTATTCGTAACTTAATATGCCTAGTGCACACTAACACGCTAATTGACGAACAGCAATGGAACCTGCTTATTTTCAGTAATTTCTGCTTGCTTGTCTCTTTTGTTTTTGTTGATTACATGCTAGACAATAGAACGCATTTCTAAAATTTATTAGGTTAGAAAATTTTTCACGGGAAAGTTATCAGTAAGGATGCCTCGCTAATAGGGCTTAGTGTGCAGGCTCACATATTAAGTTAGAAATAACTCGAGGTTACCTATATATGCATGACATGATAGGACCTCATATTATGTTTAATAAGACGGTAATGCTGTGGTTTACTTGAACACTCAAGAAGAGCGAAGGAGGTTGTTTCCGGCAGGTGTGTGCCACATTTTCTTGCTCGATGCTGCTCATTATGCTCGATAAAATTTCTTTATGATGCTTACCCACTGTATACGATAATAGTTCAAAAGTCCAGCGTTGTATTAAGTTGGTGCAAAAGTTCTGTCGTTTCATTTTCAAAAATTTGTAACTACGCGAGACTTCAACGGATTTGCTTGCTTATAATTTTATTAGAAATACTAGGTCTTTCGCTTTCAATCGTTGTTTTGTGGAGCTTCTGTTTCACAATGAGTGCAGAGACAAAAATGGAAAACTAAGACCATGTAAACTTTGACCATTTTAAATTAGGTCACCAAAAATCTGGAATGCTGCAGAAAAATCTGAAATCGTCAGTGCATATGTTTCTTGGCCTACTCTTTGCAACTGTGAAAAGTTTGTGCTGTTTGGACGTTTCTGTGAGAAGTTGTGTTTTCGCGAAAATCGACAAATTAATTGAATTTGGCGTTTTATAGTAAACTCGATATTCATGACTGCTCACAGAGACGTCCAAACAGCACAATTTTTACGGATGCAAAGGGTAGGTTGAGAAACATATGTCCTGACGATTTCAGATTTTTCTGCAGCATTCCAGATTTTTGGTGACCTAACTTAAAAGTCAAATTTACATGGTCTTAGTTTTCCATTTTTATCTCTGCACTCAGTGTGAATCAGAAGCTCCACAAAGCAATGATTGAAAGCGAAAGACCTAGACCTTTCTAATAAAATTACAAGCAAGCAAATCCGTTGAAATCTCTCGTAGTTACAAATTTTTGAAAATGAAATGACAGAACTTTTGCACCAACCTAATATTTCGCCATAATGGGTTTATCCTTGTGATCGATTATCACGTCCGCTATTAAATATCATTTCGATTACAACGCGCTTCCTCTAACTCTTTACTGAAACGCTCCCTCCCCCCTCCCCCGGGTCGTCTTGAGTGTGGCACAATTTACAGAATTTTTCTATTTTTTTGCTTGTCAGAATGTGATCTGTTATTGTTCAGATTAATTGCAAGTTTTCAAAAGTAAGCTCAAGAATTAAGGATTACTCAAGATAAGTTTAGTATCAGCAATGTAAGTCGACGTGGTAAAAAAACTTTGATCTTGATCAAGCAGAAAACACAACAAGCTACATCTTTTATCTAGCTGCCATTCATACCTGCCGCAAGAATAAGGAAGGCAAATGTATGCGTGAGAGAGCAATATTTTCTGTTATAATATAATCAGATACCCACTGCAAATACATGCATGTGAGCGCAATATTTTCTGCTATAATTTAATCAGTTATCCATTGCAAATTTATGCCTTTGCATTTACTTGAATTCATCTCGCATGCGCAACTGATAGTGTTTTGATGGATATAACGATTACTTTATTGCACACACTTCGATTTTCCGATAAAATTAAGTAGATAAAAGTACTCTTAAGTACTCTTATACAACTATCTAAACTCACGGTGATTTCATCCAAACCCATGGCATCCCATGCTAAGGTTTCAAGCAATCTTTAGACAGTGTGCGGCGCCGATGTGTGCTACAAAAAATTTCAAAAGGTTTCACGGCATCTGGAAATAGTTAAGCCATCTAACTTTTCCAATTTTCACTTATAGAGTTCAAAAATTCTTATCCTGAGCGTTTGAAGATACAGAGGACAAAAATAATGTACAAATCTGTGAGCAATTACAAAAAGTAGTGACTTCGAACCACACCATGTGGCTGTGAAATAGATTTCCGCAGTTAGAAGTTTAGCATAGCGAATGATTATTAGACTGCATTGATGCTATTTTTTGTGCGTCGAAACTTTGGGCTGCCTTCCAAGAACCAGGAGTGGGTTACAATGTGAAATCTCTTCCACGACGAAGGCGGTCGGTTTGACCTGCGAAGCGGCTGCGACTGACGTGTTCACGCATCTTTTATCATTTGGAGCTCTTACGCCCGCGCATTCCCCATGTACATAGTCGATTGCCTTCTTGGATTAGTTTTTGATGCATATTTGTTATAAAATGTGCTAGTCTTTTATTACAAGTACGATGGTGCACAGATTGTCTAGATTGTCCATATCTATTGGTTTCCTTGTTAGCTCAGCAAAATATACGTCCTCTATTATTTGCACTGTTGTCCAATCATTTCCAAAAATAGTGAATTATGGGCACTCAAGAGATGTCATGAAGAAGAATTGCAGACCTTTTGAAGCTGCTTTCCTTCACCTTCAAAGCTTGAGTGCTTACTTTTACGTGTAATGTCAGAGCGTGAAATGATTTGTTTATTATAATTTTGGAAGTTTAGCAATTATGCGACAATGCTGGATTTTTGCGCACTGCACGCCTATACCATTATCTTTTCCATCCACAAGTCACAAAAGTGAGTGAAAGCTTGAGTGAGTACTTTGCGTAGCTTGGTGAGCAGTTCGCCCATTATACTTTCTGAATTCTTGAATAGAAATAGAAAAATATAGGCGTAATCTCTGTGCTAAAAAGTTTGGAATTGAATTGTAATAACAAACTAAATCAATCTAGACTCACCTTAGATTCTAGAAATACATCCAGAATCACAATTCTGGTGCTCTGAAACAAAATAAAAATCAAATAGTTTTCATGTCTCGCTTTCTTTAAACCTGGGCATCGTATATAATCTTCAAGTGTTCTGAGCCACACAGGTTTTTAGATAGTCTTTATTATGCAATCCACGGCATAACGTTTCGACGCCTTCGTCTTCCTCAGAGGCCTGAAAGTGGTTCAAAACGTTATCCGTGACTCCAAGCCATCAAACACCTCCCCTAGTCCGGCTAGTTCTCAACCTTCGCTCAGCTTTCCTATTATAAAAATGTCAGGACAGAAGATGAGCGTACCGAAAGACCACCGCTATATAGGGTATTCCGCACCGGAAATGATGGTCGTGGCGGAAGAATAAACTATACCATAGATGACGATCGAATGTGATCTATAGACTGCATAACGATATGAACGGAAGAAAGTCAGAGGTCATTGACAAACACTCATTCTTGTTGCTCATTTCTGGTTTCTTTGCAGAGATCCAGGAAGCCTCTAATGCTTTCCTAGCCGAGGTCTCCTTTTCATAAGCTAAGATCTTACACTTGATATCAAAGTCTTCTCCATTATGC